GGGGGGGGGGGGGGGGGAGATACTCCCTGTGGCCTATACGGAGAGGCTCCGCCAGAAAGGGGTGCCTTTCTCAGGCTTCAGGTATATGAAAGGGTAGGAAAATTTGTCATATCGGTATTTGAGGGGCCTTAAACCTTAAACGCCAAAACATGTAATTATGACAAAAAGACTAACTTACAGTTAGTAGGTATGTGAAAGGAGCACCATTTGTCAACGGAATGTATACGAAAAGGGTACCTTTTATGCCAAAGGTGGTATATGAAAGGGTGAGGGGTTGGAAATCGGGGCGGAACCTCCCCATATAAACGTTGTTGATTAGCCCCCCCCCCGCTCCGGGGCTTAGATGTCTTGGTGTTTCATCTCATTCACCGGGTGTTTTCTAAAGCTGTTTGAAGTAAAGGGAGGGGTAGGAAAGACTTTCATTCACCATCCGCTATGCTAAAGAATGAGCCAAATATCTCCAACCGTTTTGGTCGTTCAGCTAAGAAAGTAAAATGGGACTAATTTTCATGGGAGGTTATCGTTTCTGTCATAAATAACATCCGAAAGGGTTTAATGAGCAGAAAAGAAATTATCTGTTAATACATAGAAGAAGCAACTGCCTATTAACACACTCATGATGATCTTACGATTTGACTAGTACTATGCAAACATGCCTCTGACGTACCCTACGCCTATATAAAAATAGCTCCTGCATTAGAGCGTTTCACATAACCAGGAGGTTCGCCCAAACAATGAAACGTTGGGTATTGGTGTCTCAAACCCCCAAAGGGGGGAGTACTCCTTTATATAACCCATATATAGGTTTGTGCCGCCCCAAAAGATAGGGTTTTTGGGCCATTCCAGTCTGAAAACGGGTATAGACTTTTGGTCTGGAATCGGGTGTGGGTTTCGAGGTAACTAAGGGAGTTTATGAACGTTTCATCGTTTCAATTCCTGATGAATAAGAAAGAAAGAAGAAATATGTGAATTCAAAGTGGATTTTAAGAAATCGTTATTATCGGCAATCAAATCTAAGTAATGATGACATAATTTCTAAGAGGCCAGGTCTGGAAACGGGTGTGAAAAATGATAGTTTTTGGTCTGAAATGGGTCAGGATTTGAAAAACCGGGTGGCACACCCCCCGGGCCCAAACCAGTTCAGTGGGAGTTGAACCGGTTTTTTTTGTCCCAATAAATTTGCACAGCTGCTGGCCACATGAGTGAGAACGCCCTATAGGATGTTGGTAAGCGAAATACCGGTGGGGGGGGGGGGG